GTTGAAGGATACGTGCCCATCTGCGTTCTTCCCCTCTTTGTGTTAATTCTTTGTTTTGGAGCGCAGCTGTTAGGGGCCCGTTTCCGGCTTGAGCGGCGTTGCCGTCGGCGTAACCGCAAGGTCACATGACCCCCCCCACCCCCCCCCCAAAGTCACGTGACCCCCCCCTCCCCCGAGGTCATGTGACTTCCTCGAGGTCATGTGACCCCCCTCAGGTCACGTGACCCCAGTTAAAAATGTCCATTGGGTCCAATTGATTTCTGACAATTGGAACCAATGGGGAAAACTGTTTGTGATTTCGGACTCCTCATTGAAAAAATCCCAATTGGTTCCAATTCTCGAAACCCAATTGAGCATTGCCAATTGGAACCAATTGGGCACGACCAATTGGGAAAACCGTTTGTGATTTTGGACTCCTCATTGAAAAAATCCCAGTTGGTTCCAATTGTTGATACCCAATTGAGTATAGCCAATTGGAACCAATTGGGGAAACCGTTTGTGATAACTGAACAATGAAACTGTAGTAAATGATGTTTGCCATTTTTATTGTAGTTAAGAGATTCATTCATTCGGCCTCCCCTTGCTTGGCCGTCGTCCTGTTGTTCAGGTGTTGCCCTCTGGTTCGGTAGTTTCCTCCTGGTCCAGTTTTTCCTCTGCAGCTTTCCTAGGAGCATCAATATAGGTTAAATTATCACATGACCTATATAAGTCACATGACCTATATTTAGCTTGCAATAAGGAACAATGACGTTTCCCCTTAATAAACCAGGAGTTTCTTTATTTATAAATCAAGTCTTCGATGTGCAGCAAAAGGCGGCCAAAGCCACCCGACAAGGCTTTGCAGGCGGCATTTCGGACTGGTCAGAAATATGGATCAACTAAAATTCTATTTTGCTCGAAGGAGAGCATTCGGCAATATTGCAGTACGTCCATAATCGACGGGCAAATTCTGGTAGAAGATAATTAGGAGCATGTATTTTTACGTTGCAAAGAAAAAAGGAACTGTGACCATATTGACTAAGTCCGATGCTCACGATACTTAACGACTAGGTGTTAGGGCAGTTAATATGCTGTAACTATACAGATACTGCATAGTTGCAGCGTTTATAACATAGTTATACATTCTGCATAATTAAAGAGGTTTGAGAGAGACGTTTCTGGGTGTTCCTGGGTGTTTTTTTCCAGCAAAAGTTTATCTCCAGCTCCAAAGTGGCATTGAGTTATACAAAAACATGTTTCCAAAGTACTGCGTCTTTCCGAGAAAAGAGAATAGTGTTTTGCTCACCGCAAAAGTGAACTACCTTTTTCGCACTAGCACTTGATTACATTGCGTCAACTTTCGTGCCCTTTCGCGACTTTCGAACTGACAGCTCGAAAAATTCTCTTCTGTAAAGTTTCATTCGTGCAGGCTCCTACACTGTACTGACCATGAAGGTAAAGGTGTCTCGGCATATTTATAACTACGAATTTGCCGATTTGAAATGCAGCAAGCACCAAGAAAAGAAACAAAGTGTCCTTACCTTGAGTCGATAACCGTTTGCTATCCATCCTTCACGCTCCGACGAAGTGGCAGGCCCAATGAACTATTGATCACCGCACTATTCAGCACTCGCAGCAGTAAAACAAAATAACTTCCTTGAATATCTGCTGTAACCATGCCACAGATGCCGTGCCTGCCAACGTGCCATGTGCGTACGCGCTCCTTCCCGGACGCCATCTTTGTCGCCCAGTGTGTACAGACGTTTCCGAGGATTCCCGCCAATTTTAGCAAAACTAAAAAAAGCAAAAAAAAAAACCCAGATATTTACAACATAAAATGATAAAAAAAAAAATTCTGACATATTCAGTTTCCATGCGGAAGTTTTTCTCATTTTGATATTTAAAAAAAAAGTACTTTGTGCAAGTGCTATGATTCCGATTGTACCAATATTTTAATTGTAACTGGGCTGAAAAAAACAAAATATGTACAATTTTTCCTCCATACGAGTTTCATAAAAAAATCACACAATTTAAAGTAATGGCGCATTTAGAAGCCTATTTACACATGTTCAGTGCAAAAAAAAACGATGAGAAAAAGGTGTAGCTACTTGAACCAGTTGAAAGTGGGAATTGGTAAAGTGGGACCACTTGTGAAACCACTTTAAATTTTCATTTGGGTTAAAATAACCAATGAAAGACATCTGAAGATAGAATTGTGTATCGGGTGTCAATTGAAAAGTACAGTTGTGATAATCAACTGGACATTTTCGTCCCAATTGGCATAACAATTGTACATCCTAATGCCAGTTGGATTCAACTAGTTATTTTGGTGCCAACTGAGCTTGCAATTGCCACCAATTGGCACACCCAGTTGTTTACTTAATGCCAAGTGGATCCAACGAGTTACAATTGGCATCAGTTGAACTTCCAATTGGAACCAACTGGCACAACCAATTGTTTACTTACTGCCAATCGGATCCAACTAGTTACAATTGGCATATCAACTGAACTTCCAATTGAAACCAACTGACACAACCAATTGTTTGCATTTTGACAATTGGATCCAACTAGTTACAATTGGCATCAATTGAATTTCCAATTGGAACCAGTTGGAAACAACTGGTACCAATTGAAATTCCAATGGTTCTCAATGGTTATTTTTATCTGGGACCCCCTGACGTCGCACGACCCCCCGAGGTCACATGACCCCACCCTGAGGTCACGCGACCCCACCTTAAGGTCACGTGACCTCCTCCGGTCAGATGAGCCCCCCGACGTCACACGACCCCCCTGAGGTCACGTGATCCCCTTCAGGTGACATGCCCCCTGATGTCAGGCAACCCCCCCTGAGGTCACGTGACCTCAAGGATGCAGGCAAGCTCGTGAATATTTATCATGTTGGATTAACCGGAGAAGTTTGAGACGCCGCCCTGTCTATTTTTTGTGTCTTCTACGTTTTGATGTTTCTTACCTTAACCCCTATTGGGACCTGTTGACTCCCAACTGGAACCAGTTGACTCCCAACTGGGACCATTTGACCTCCAACTGGGACCATTTGACCCCCAACTGGGACCATTTGACCCCCAACTGGTCCCAGTTGACCCCCAACTGGGACCAGTTGACTCCCAACTGGAACCAGTTGAAACAAGTTAGATTTTTAACTGGTCCCAGTTAGACATTTTCACCTGGGGAGTCACCTATCCCTTAGTACCCTTCCATCCTCCTCCTCAAGAGCTGCACTCTAATCCAGCGTTACAGGGAATTGTAAACGGCTTTCTTTTTTTTTAGGTCTACCAACACGTTCTTTATGCTCTAATTCTACAGATTGCTTTGTTTTTCGGTTATCAGGTGCACTGATAGCACAGCCATTTGAATTTCAAAATATACGCTTGATATCAATAGCCTGTTCGATTTACCTGCGCCTTCCGCACCGGTGCAGAAAAGTGTGGCGCGGTGTACATTCGCCCTTATCGCAATACACCTACCGGAAGTGCGCCGCCATGCGCTGTTCTGGATTGGTGCAGGAGGTGTAGGTAAATCAAAAGGGCGCACCGACACTGGCATTTTAGCCTCGGGCCTGACTGGGATGTTTTGAAAAAGAAGGCAGTCGGATCGATTCGCAATTAGCCTAATTTACTTTTATACGGTTTTGATTCATGATGCCTGTTTCAACAACATTGTGCATGTACGACTGATTGTGGAAGGTAATGTTATTCATCCAACCAATCTCTGGAAAAGCTGGCAAGTTATAGAAAGTCAGATAAAGTACTCTAATAATCTTGGCGGCAAAGCGAACCCAAAGTTTAATATGTGCGACAAAGATCTCTCAAATGGTGCCAAAACACTGCAATGCCAACACAAATTACATACAAACTTAATACAAGGGTTAGGTTGTCAAATATTGTTAAGACGTTTATTGGCTTCTGACTTCTATAAGTTTGATTAGACTTCTGTAGAACCGCATCTCACAGGCAATTCAATCATATGTGTTCACTATTGGAAAATTTTGGCCCAGCACTACCACTGGTTTTTACGGGCACGGTAGCGCTCCGGGGCACTACATTCTGAAAAGAGCCCGTGTGTCTGCTTTCCCGCAAAACGCTTGGAGAGCCAATCAATGCAGCTTGAGGAGGCATGCAGCTCGGCGCATGATAATGCTGAAATATATGTTTAGACCAGAAAACGAAGACTACGATGTAGCATTAAGCAATGCAAGTGTGACGATTTGCGTTTCTTAATGCTACATCGCAGACTTCATTTTTTGGTCCAAACTTATGTTTAGGCATTGTCATTCGCTGAGCTGCCTCCGCAAGTTGCAGTGACTGGCTCTCCGAGTGTTCTGCAGAAAAGTAGACGCACGGGCTTTTTTTAGAGTGTACCTTGCCCGTATGCTTGCAAGTGTAGCGCGAGCCCAAAGTAGTGCAGTGGCGAATCATGGAAGAGGTATGCTTAAATTCTATGTCACAGAGTTTTAGCATACCGCGTCCGTGATCCGCCGCCGCGCTACCGTGAGCTCATACTAGACCTCAAAGCACGCTCTTAAGCGCGAGCACGGATCCCACGAATTGCGGCATGCCAAAAATTTCTACTATTTGGAACATGAAAGATCTCACGCGTTTTTATTATAGCAAAATAATTGTTTTTTTTTATTTCTTCGATACCCTTTACTAAGAGTTTTTCCAGAGCTATATTTTGTATTACCCTACGATGAACTTCAAGCCAAAGCTACTGACCAGCAGGTCCAATGACAATATACTTTGAAACCACGTAGTATATCGCTTGGACGTGAGGATCGAATCAAAGCGATACACCACATATTTTTATTTGCTCGCGATATGACCTCACGGCCCGTAACTTTGGCTCGTAGTCTATCATAGGCTGGACCAAAGTATAGCAATGTGTGCTACGTTAACTTGAAAATTTTAAGAAATTTTGGTGTTCTGCAGTCGGACAACTGCAGAACAGCAAAATTGTATTTTATGACTCAGTAAGCTTTGCATTCTGAAAAGTCCCCCAACAAAATGTTTTTCTATCTTCCTTCAAGAAGGTTTTTCAAAAACGAACTACTGCAACTACTGCACGAAGAGGTGGGAGTCCTTCGCCAAGAAATCATCCGTCTGAGAGAGGTTCATGCTGCAGCCCCTGCCGCTTTTCCACCCCTCCTGTGCTACCCAAACTGCCGATGGAGAGAGCAGAGGATTTTCCAGCCCTGGGGGCGTTTCTGGCAGACGAAAGCAATTTCGGATACATGGTTGGTTTACAGTTTTTTTATAATGAATGATTCCTTCCAAAAGAAAGAAAATCAATTAAGGTTGAGTCATTTTCAAACCAATCATTTCGATTGTTTTAAACCTAAGCAAATTGAGAAAATTCTATATTAGTAAGGCTGAATTAAAACAAAAAGTCATCTTATGAATATACCAAGTGTGTTTTTTTGAGTCAGTTAAATTTTTTAGAAAAAACGGGAGTGCGTTTTACGAAGAGACTCTTTTCACTCCATGTTTATCGGGCTCGGCGGACATTAGGTAGTAATTTAATCGTCACCATCAAGCGACTAATTAACAAAAATGTGCTAAATATGTTTTAATTTTAATTTTTATGGCCCATGTTGCAATTACAATTTGAAATCAGCTACCACAGAAGGCTAAAGGACTCAGTTGAAATAAAAGCAACCTGCTTTAAGATATTTATCGTCAAATTTGCCCTCTCAGCGAAAAATTCTCAACTGGACTCAATGTTTGCGTCCATGCAGTTACAGCTGTTACAGCATTGCAGCTGTGTACCCGACAACCGTCATCCCCCCCCACGAACGTCACATGAAGATAACTAAAGAAATGGACCTATTTCTAAATTACCCAAGCATCAGGGAGAATGCAGGGAATGGTGTTTTACGCGACACACGTGTCGGCGTCTGCACCAGTAATTGTTCTAAAGCAAAAGCCTAAAACAAATGGCATCTTGCACGTGCGTTCGTCAATGCTTTATTATGAAGAATGGATAGTTGGGCGAGTTGGTGGGAATTCATCCGCGAACAACAGACGTGGACGAAGGCGCAGACGGGGGGTGAACTGCAAAAGATGGATGGTCGTTTTCCTGTGTTTTCTTATTAAAATAATTCAGTTGACAGTCAGCGCTTGTCCCGTGTGTTTCTTCTTCGTCCACGTCTGTTGTTCGCGCTGTGTCCCAAGATGCTTTTCTTTGGTTATTTACTTCGAATCGCTTATACGGGAAAGGCGTGCACTTGCGGTGTGTGGAACACCATTTCCGGCATCCTCCTTGATGCTTGGATAATTTAGAAATATGTCTTTGATTCAAAAATTCTATCGTAGTTAGCACGCATCCGGTTGATATCTCGGATATTAGCACAGGTGGTTGCATTTTCGCATGGTCTAGAGTCTCGGAACTGCTTTGGTACGCCGTAAAGGACATTTTTTATTTTTGCCGCATATTTATTGTTTTACTTCTTTCAATCTTGAGACAACCCTCTATTCTACGGTGCCACTTGCAACCTCGAGCTTCAATTTCATCAAGGAAGCTTACCTTGAGTAACTTAAAGGGATGGTGAACCGAAATTTGGATTTCAGAAAAACAATGCAGGAGATGTAGGCGAGACGCTACAGTCCCTACAACAGTCCTCGTAAGGCGATATCTCGAATGGACGGCCATATTTTTGGAAAAAGAGGTCGAGATTGAACCAGGCCCACCAGGCACGTGACGGTCCCAGATATCTCGTTTCCTCCTCTCTTCACTTTGCCCCCTCAAGGCGACGAGGCGGAGAGGATGCAAGGCCGTTCTCTCTCCTTCTCGGAGAAACATGACGTAAACATATCTGTCAAATGTGCCTTCTTTTCTTGAAAAATATGGTCATCCGTTCGAGATATCACTGTATGAGTGATGTCTTGGTATTTGTAGCATCCCGTTGTACGCTTTCGCCACGTGTTTTGTGGAATCCAAATTTTGGTTCAGCATCCCTTTAACACGGCGACCGAAAACAAAAAGGATTGCATGTGCACTCTAAAAGTTCCCGTGTGTTCTCTTTCCCATCGCACATTTAATAGCCAATCACAACAATCTGTGGAGCGAGCTCAGTGAATCATGGCGTCGAACAGGTGTTTAGGCCTAAAATAAGGTCGGCGCTGGGACACCGAGCAACATGAAACGTCACGCTCAGTGTCCTTACGAAGACTTCATTTTTGGCCTGAACACATGTTTGTCCCCTTTATTCACCGAGCATGTCCCGCTGATTGCTGTGATTGGCTATAAAATGTTTCATGGGAAAGGAAATCACTTCAATGTTCAGAATGGAACTATGGCGACATGAGAATGTATATGCGGTTTATCTTTTTTGGCGGTTGGAAATCATTTTCCCGCAAACTCAAGTGTTTCTTTTCTTTTTCTTTGCGTTTGATTTTGTATATTGTTGCCACAATCTCTGACACGTTGGCATGTAATCCCAGTTTTGGTAAACACTACATTTTATATAACGCGTACGTTTTGCTATCTGAGCACCCCTGTTCTCATTTGTGTCCCGTGACCTATATTTTGCATTCTTCAAAAAATCTTTTCATGACACTTCTACTTGCAGGTCTCCCACCTCAGGAGTTTTGACGGGTCAACGCTTGGAAAGAAGGCAAACGGAATGATGAGCAGTTTGTTCACTTTAGAGTTAGCCGTAACCTACACCTACAAGCAATCAACGGGCAAGCTTGTCTTCGAAGGGACGGCAGCCGAGAAGGCCGTTCGTCGTAAGTATTCCCACTAAATTCTATTGAACGCAATGAATGTTAATTTGGAGCTTAAAAGCTAATCATTATTTAGAATGCTCTTCATGCGTATCAAGCCATGAATAAAAATTAAGAAAATTGTCACATATATCTAAGGGAATAAAATTCAAGTTTCACATTTTATCACAAGTTAACGTTAGGAAGGAAAACTGTTTATTGAAGTTATGTTGCCCTAAGTACCAAAGCAAATGAGGGAAATAGATGACAAAAAAAGGCATAGTCATTAAAGTATTTAATTTTAGTAAAATCTTAAAATTCAGAACCTTTATTTTTACACTTGTTAGTGAGCGCGTTGGTAATGATGTACCGTATTTATTCGAATATAGGTCGACCTTTTTTTTTTCGGAAATGTTGTCAAAAATTAAGGGTCGACCTATAATCGTGACCAAAGAATTTCGACCTAATTCGCGACCAAAATTTGAAACCCTACCGAGGGTATGGAGCTGTCCATCACCTAGCCGGCGTTGCTGTAGAGCCGCGCGGCTTCTTGTTTCAAAAAGCTTTTGATGCACAAAAACAACCGAACAGCAGCAGCCGACAGCCCGTGACCGCCGGCTACGGCTCTCGCGCATTTTCCTCGGGCGTCGGGTTTCGCCATCACGCCTGTAGCGTTCCCCTCGCTGGGCAAGGGGGAAGGGGAGGGAGAGGAACGCGATGCGCCATGCACTTTGCCCTCCTATGCGCTCCATTCCTCTCTCCCTCGCAGACGCACAAAAAAAAAAAAAAAAAAACTTGGAGGTACTTTAGTTTGTTTTTCTTCGGCGGGTCGCGTGTTGCTCACGGGGCTCGCTGCGTTGCTCGTGTCTTTGTATTTGGTCTTTCGTGGCTGGCCCGTCTCCACCTTCTTTCGTTTCTTCTTGTCGTCATTTTACAACGGTGTCAGTGAGGTATTGTTGCCAATTTGCGAGGATGTCTACCAAGCTGACGAAGCTTCGGACGACGATATGTCCGGAACTTCTGACGATGAATAAGTTTTTGACATCGCCCTGTGATTTAGCTGAGAGTGCTGTAAATAAAGGTTTTTTTCTTTTGCCCTAACTTTCCCCTGTTCCTTAAAAAAAAAAAGAAAGATCGACCTATATTTGAATTATTTTTTTTTTATTCTCGGTGGGCTCAATAAATAGGGGTCGACCTATTTTCGTGGTCGACCTATTTTCGGGTAAATACGGTAGGTTTAGAAAGAGTTATATACGTAAAAACAGGGGACAGGACAACACATCTTTTAACTTTCCACAAACAAATGATTTAATGGACGCTTCGCCTTCGGAGCTCCACTCTAGGAGAGGGAAAGTTAAAGGTAGGGGGAAGGAGAAGGAGGGGTGTCATGCTTTTGCTGCTTAATTGAACATGCTTATTTGGTTTTAATATTGTTATGTAGGGAATTATATGTTTGTTTTACTTTTTTTAGTTCCAAAGGAAAACGTCCTTCCGTTGCTAGCTATTCCAAAATAAAAATGGTAATAAAAAAAATTCTAAATTAAAATGTTCTTGTTTTATAGAATGGACATCTCCGATAGATTTAAATGTAGCGACATAGCTTTAAATGTAGACTTTAATCATAATGTCACAAAATCCGCTTACATACTTTGTTCTCAGGCTGCAATGAATACACACTCCTCGCTGGGCTAGGTTTTAAAGGTATAGAAAAGACAGTGCGTATATCCAGCAGGGTGTTTTTATTTTTAAAATGTACGATACTTCTGTCAATATCAGGCAGAATTGAAAGTGTGAGAAGAGACGGATGTCAAAGTGGGCTTTTACACTCTTTTTCAGGCGCTGCAATGGAAAGTTTCCGAGGACTTGCGTCCAAGAAATACACGTTCCACGTCGGAAACCAGTTCTGCAACGCGCACGGCAACCGAAAAAGCAGGAAGACGCGTACGTAAAGAAAGCAATTTTCGGTTGAACATTTTTCAGATTCTGCCTTAGAATTTGCTTGTTGCCTACATCGTTAACACTAGAGCACTATATAGCTCCTACGGAGCAGAGTAGCGCAATCCTTTGAACCCCAGGTTTTGCCGACAACATGGCCGACAGAGCAGCTCGGCGCGAGTCACGTGGTACACAGGGTTCCAGGAGGCGGCCCGCCCTACGGGAGAATACATGGAGATCGACACAACACTGCTGATTAAAAAATGAACGGCGAGTTCACACTTTTCAAAACTAGTCTGTCGTGAAGTTAGTAAAGCAATAAACACTTTATCAAAGTTTTAATAATATCGGATGCGTGTGCAAATTTTGAGAAGGCAATTTCCAAGGCAATGGCGTTTGAAGCAGACGATTTTTGCTCGCAGCGGAGATGGGCTTTTCGGGTTGGCCGGAGCGGGTCACGTGAATGGTGTGATGTCGCCGTGTCGTCTGCTGCATGATGCCGCTCAGGCAATTTTTAAAAAAAAGTCAGGTCCTTGCGGGGCACAAAACTTAGCGCGAATTATACTAAAGTGTTCCATTATTATGTCAAAAACGATTGCGATTCCGTATATTCCCACAACACTGAAGAAACAACGATTTTTTCACGTTCTCCATGCATTTCTGACCGCAGTTGGAACCTCCGGGCGTTCGCCGCTAGTCGCCGAGAGGCGGCGTTCTAGATTGCGCTACTCTGCTCCGAAGGAGCTATATAGTGCTCTAGTTAACACTACATAAAAAGAAGAAACAAGCTTTTTGTGTAGTTCAATGCTAAATGAAACAATTACATTCAATCCAAAATGTGTGGATGGAATTTTTCTTATACATTTAGTATAAGAAAAATAAACAAAGCTTTAGGCCTGATTCACACAGCCAATATTTAGCCATTCCGTCGTTTGGAAACGACAGGCACGTTTTCTCGCCGGAACATGATGACGGCGCAACATTGCAGCGAGGAACCGGCCCAAAAATTTTTTAAAATGACGGGAAAGCCAATGTTTTTAAATGACGGGGTGGCCAAACTCCTGCTGTGTGATTGAGGCATTATGCGTTACAAACTTGGACATCTGGATAGCCGAATTCAAGAACTCACTTAAATGCTCTTACAAGTACCTTAATTCGCTACTCTAAAAAAAAGCCCGAGCGTCTACTTTGCCGCACAACACTGACAGCCATTCACCGCAACTTGCGGAGGCAGCTCAGCGAATGACGATGCCGAGACATATGTTTAGACCAAAAGACGCAGTCTGAGTTGCGACATTAAGCAAAGCAAGCGTGATGTTTTGCATTGCTTAATGTCAACTCAGACTGCATTTTTTTTTTGTCTACTCGCAGTCTGTCTCCGCAAGTTGCGATGATGTTATGCGGGAAGGTAGATGGACGGGCTTTTTTTAGAGTGTACATCGAGGGGTAATGTTTTTTGCTAGGAGCCAAAATTTTTTAAGAATTCTTCAGGTGTAAACGGGCCGTAGTTCATTCCTTGTGGATTGAATGCAATTATGTGCATATAATATAAGCCGCAATTTACAAAACAAACAAAACTGCAGCAGCAGGGAAAGCTGTATCTTCTTTATTATTACTAATAAAATTCAAGCCTACATTCACGAGCCGACGTAGCTTAAAGGGCCCATGGAACGAGTTTTGGGCTAAAATGAATCAATTTATATTGGGATTTTACTAATAGCACATCGTTCAGTGGGCCAACACAAAAAAAAGGCAGAAAGTCAAAAGCCTGACTTTTGGTACGAAAATTTGAAAACACAGCGGACTATTCCATATCTCCTTCCCTTCGTGAGCTCTCTGCCTTTTCACTGTAACACATCTGCAGTCCCCGCAGTGCGTCACCGGGCCCCCACAGCGCGTCACCGGGCCCAAACACACGTCACATGAAACCGGACCTTACTTATTCCCTTCACCCCTAAGCTGACATTGTGGTGGAAGCTACGCGCTTGCCGGACCAATCAGCCACCTCCCTTTCATCACCTGGCCTCACTCTCTGCGCGTGGGTATGCGTGAGAGAGCGTGATCACGTGGCAAAAGTGTGGCTGGCCCAACGAGCACGTAGCTTCCACTGCACTGTCAGCTTCAGGGTGAACAAGATGGAGAAAGCAACTTTTGTCTGAATTTTGAGCGATGGGAGAGAATGGCTGTGTCCGGATACACACACGAGAGTCCGAGCAAGAGAAGACTCCCCCCTTTCCGTCTTCTTGAACTGTTTGGTAGAATGCGCGATTTATGAGTTGAGGAGGAAAGCTAAACAGGAAAAAGTTGGAAAAGCGTTTCATGACCCCTTTAATGCACACAATGATGTACCTCCAAGTTTTATAGTTGTGGGCTTCAGCAGTTGTTTATTCCACCTGCGAAGTTACAGCGGTGTTTGTGGCATTTGCCCTAAATTGCCAATAATCACTAGACTTGGTTCTGTACGTTGACATAATATAAGAGAAAAAAGTCTACTAGAGACCATTTTATTCTCCAGTGGAGCATAAAGAATGAGTGTAAATTCGTGATTCATTTTACAGGCAAGCACAATACCCGTGTTGATTTGATTGGTTTACACTGATAGCCGATATTGCACCAGTTTTTTTTTTTTCATTTTAATTTCAACTATTGTTTTGTTTGCTTTTTCAGGAGGATACTCAAGGAAGTTTGTGCGTGTGGAGGAGCGGGGCCAGAAGTGGTCCAGGACCAAGAGCGAGGGAGCAGTCTTGTCACTTTTTTAACATTTGTTTTATGTTTGTGTTTTAATTGATTATTCTTTACAGGCCCATGCCCCCCCCCCCCCCCCCCCCCCATTTTAAGAGTATAATAAAGAAAAGAAAATTAAATGCAATTTGTTTTTGTGTTGTTCCACGGGAGATGTCGTCGGTTTATGTCTGGTGGGACTTGTGGCAGTTGTGAGGTTCTGTTAGCCTAATTTCTCGCAAGATGAAATGTCATATCTTTTTTTTTTGTCAATATAAATAGCCTAGGTTTCACGGTGAGCACAAGAGAGGAAAGGTGTTGCCACTGTAGTGGTGGTTATGTCGTCTTGCAGGCGGCGAGATTTATATGTCATGTTAACGTAAATTCATGCAAAACCCAGGCTGACAAGCATCATGCTGCGTAAATATTCCCAAACAAAGTTATGCCTCTGTCAGACGGGCACCTAAATGGACCTTTACGCCAGAGGACCTTTACTGTAAATGTCATTTAAGCAGTGCCACACGGCAACTCAAATGGTATTTAGCGTAAAGGTCCTTTCGGTGAACCTGAGTTCACGCAACTCTTTTACGGCTGCTAAAGGCATACTCTTGTCAGCAGGGGTGTACACTAAAGAAGCGAATTTAAATAAACAACCGTACTAATATCTAAAATTAATGTTTTTTTTTATGTTTAATATTGAAAAAAACGAGTTTCACATACCTTCTGTACAGACCTTGCTCTACTACTAGTTTTCTGTACTCACGGCCCCGGCTTTCTAGTAGGCCTCGTCGCCCCGCTGCTCGCCTGCTCGCATCGTCCGCTTTGACACTTCAGTTTTCCTCCTCAATTTTCTTTACAACCATAGTTATCTAGCTTTTTTTCTCCAGTTTATATTTTATCATCCTTTAATAGTGTATTGCTAACTGCTTTTGTACACACATATATATATATCTGTATCTCACTCTTAAGTCGTGCGATATGTCGAACGAACGAGGAGCGTCCTTCACTAGGAAGGGGTTGCCGCGCTTCCATTGGAGCGTTGAAGTGGCCTGGGCACTGGTACGATACATTGAGGCTGATACGTTGAGGCGACCTGGGCGCTCATACGGAGGATAGGCTGGAGGACCTCCGATGCGTGCGATGAAACTCAACTGTGAGCACGACGCCGAACTGAACAGGGCAAAAGCGTAGCAGAAGCACGGAAAGGAGAGGGAGCTCCGAGCAACGTTAGGACTAGGGATGTGAACCGGTCGAGGTTGAAGTTCGACCAGATTCGACTTTTTCTAACTTGTGAAACGTTCGACAAAGATTCGACTCAGGTTCGACTGCTATGCACATGCGCGACAGGCTGGCCAGCTGGCTTCGGATTGGATGGTGATGGCTAAGGGATGAATTAAGTGCAGCACTGATTGATTATTTCAGTTAATACAGCACAAAAAAAAATTATGTTATTAAATTCTTCAGTGATTAGAATTAGTTTCTTTTAATAGCAACTGTTAATAAACCATAAAAAAAATAATTCTCCAAACCTAGACATGCTTGTATCAAGGTCTGGTCACACTGTCCATGAAATCAAATTGGTTGAATCTGTTTAAAAGTTTGAAGGTTGGTCGAAGCGGTCGAATCTGGAAAGTTCGACCTAAAAATCCTGTTTGACAAAAGTTCGCGACACCCCTAGTTACAAGGAGGTTAGAAGGGCAGTGATGTGATTGCTGCGCCAATTGCACCAAACTGCACAAGGGGCTAACTTTGCTACATCCTGTTACATTTCGCCAAAATATAGGTAATCTGCGCCAGGCCTGTGCCAAAAAATCAATTTCGGTCGCTTTTAAAAACCGAAATAAACTGAGTACCGAAATCGAGAATGTGTGTGTTATGTGGCGCAAACGGTCGCCCGACACAAAGTACTTGCATCAGTTGTCCATCCAGTCTTGCATGGTTTTCTTGCAGTCACGCGTTTCGCGCTCTCGTCGTCTTGTGACTCTCGTTTCGCATATTTTTTTAAAAATATTTTCAGGGTCGGAGCGTCCGCAATATCTACGGACGCTAACGTGCCATGCCGGGTACCAGCCATGTTGTCATGCTCTGAGACGAAACATTTTTGCTATGCGGGAGTTACTTTGCGAGCTCAAGCACTCGCTGCCGAAAGCAACGGCCGTGGGAAAACTATATTTGGTCCCTGCCTTCCAGTCACCGTGGTCGTGCGACGTCGGTTGTTGCCATCCCCATGTAGCTGCAGATATAGCGCTTTCTAAAATTAAACCTTGTATCGCCGCAAGTTCATCAACATTCCTGTTCTTGTTTAAATCACGTTACTACAGAAATTCCGAGATTGCCAAGGGCTAATGCGTCATCCGTCAAACCACGTGACCACGCACCTTCTACCACGCTTTCAGCTTAGGGGGAGAGAGAGAGAAGGAAAGGCCAAAACGGGAGTGAACACACAAGGCTTATCTTATGGGGCATCAACGACCACAGCGAGTGGATTTGTCGCTTGTACCCAAGGTTGATAGTGCAGTGAATGCTGTGTGTGGCCTTGGGCTCCAGGCAGGTGCCGTTTTTAGACTAGTCACGTGACTCTAACCTGAGACACGATTGGCCTAAAACATGCATAGCATCTACCCTGCTGTCAATACCGAGTTAACTACAGCTCTTCAAGTCCAGCGTTTGAACTTCCAAAGAAGCTGTCCAGCTCGAAAGTAACTCAAAATGATGCAAGTTTGAAGATACTATGTTTTACGCCGTCTAACGCACATTATAATTTTAAATAAAAAAATAATCGCGACTATTTTTTTTTTGCGCATGATGTCCACAAATAAATAGATAAATAAATATGTATATATTTTACCAATAAATTTAGAATTATGTGTACACTGTTAGGTTTAAATTTCAATTTTTTTACGAAAGAGTTACACATAAAAGACACCACGGACAGCACATATCTTCCGACTTTCAACACACGATGAATCGCAGACGCTCACAAACGGAAAGTTGCAATGCTTCGCGAACGGTTTTTGAAAGATGCTGCGTAGGGTACTCCGGGCTCAACGGCTTCGCAGCCGTTCGAAGGGAAAAGGATGCGCGACGACGAAGTAGCATCTTCAGTAAGCTAACGGTTCGTGTTTCCCCGCTCAATTTAGCGGGGAAACATTAATAAAATTAGTTTCACTGCTAGATTTAGCGGGAAAATTGACGTCACGTGGACATAAGTACCTATTCAATTTCTCGCTAAATTTAGCGGGGCAGTTACACCGATGGCGACGCCGACACCACTTACTCGGAAATGGGCGCCTAAGAGCTGCGATCTAAAATCCATTATTTGATAACTCGCTTTTCGATCTTATGCACTTCGTTGTATTGTCACACGTCAAACATACAACCAAATTTCATTTGTCTTTCAATCTTCAACATGCACAATTGATTAATTCGTCCAAATACCTGGAATAACTTCACTTTAAGGATGTGAACAATAGTTAACCAATTACATGAGAATCATGCAATATAAATCAATCAACTAATGTCTTGGTGAGTATAGATATGACTTATTGCTTGCGCCACCGAAAGGGGCCCATATATCATTTTCAAGGGCCACTTATATGGCCACATCTCGGGTGCCGCCTCGGTGGCTCCGAGGCGAGAGCGCCGGCCTACGGATCCCCATGTGGCGGGTTCGAATCCCGGTCGAGGTGCCCGCAATCTGACGGAGGCTTATTGCAGAGAAGGCACCATGTAACCGAGCTTTCGGTTGCACGTCAAAAGATCCCCAGGTGGTCGAAATTAATCCTAGGTCCTCCGCTGGGGCGTGCCAGATGCCCAACGTTGGTTTGGCACGTAAATGTCCTAGGATAAAATTTGACTTTTTTTGGCCAGATCTGGCAGTATTTGCCCACTTATATGGCGATATCTGGCCGTATTTGCTCCCATATATAGTGGTATATTGCCATATTTGACTCCTTATATTATCATATATGGCCGTATATAAAATATATCAGTGTAATATCCGACATTTTCGTCAAGACGTTACGAAAAAAGCAGTTTTGTACTGCTTTTTCCCCTTTTTTCTTTTGTATAAAGAGGAATAAAGAAACTTGAAATGTGAAATCAAACTGGCGCGGCTGTGCAAAAACGTTTTATTCTCTCGCTCAAATGCTTGGAGTAGCCAAGAGGCCTAGTACATAAAGATGCCTACGGAGAAACGAAAACAAATATCGAGAGACGAGATTGAGAGGCTAGGTTCTGAAACGCTGCCGAAGGAAGAGTTCGGTCTCGGGGGTTTCTTTGACACTGCCGGGAAAAAGTGGGTTCACGAGGTCGCTGTCCTTCCCGCCGCGAGTCACCCATTATGTGCTCAGCTTGGTTTATCCCTTCACCTACATTAGGAGGGATATGAAGGGAAAAAGATGGGCCGAAGAAAAAAAGGGGAACGGCGTTTTGACCAAACGGTCCTTTCACAAACTGGCGCTGACACAGAATGTGACCCCGCCATAACACCTTATAGGAGAGGGTGAGAGGGAAGGTGTGGCGTATAACTATGATTCCGTGTTTTTGGAGTTTATTTCCCGTTCTATTCGGAGGGTGTTCTCTGGATTTATATTTTGCCGAATAGTCAAAGTTTATTGAGGTTTATTTTCGTTAGATTCCCAATTCTCCGAAGTAAGGAGTTCTTTTTTTTTCTTTTTTTTTGCTTGTTTCCACGTTTTCAAGATTCAAAATTAAAATAGATTAACCGGCGGGTGTAACCCTGCCCTAGATTTATAAGAATGTGCGTGTAACACATAATATTGGTGCCCTTGCCATTAGTTATACTAACTAGCTGTCCTAGGATAAAACTTGAAGAAGACGCATCAAGATTGTTGAACTCCTGACGTAGTCGATGGAACGCTTGCTTTTCTTTCTATCCTATTCTACCGCTTCTCCCTGCGACTGTACAGGGTGGAGTGGTACGATGGAGGCCTCAGCTGTCCCTTCCAAGAAATACAAGAGTTCACAGTTATCAAAATCACAACCCTAGATTACTCTAAGAAGTTTAATATGGAATCCAAAACAGTGGCTTTTGTCGGGGCCCAAAGTTACAATGCCCCGCTGCCCTGAACCAACCTTGACAAGATAATCGGTGAACCTTCTTTGGTCATGAATACTACGAGATTTTGAAGGGATCTGAGTAGACCTGTTCTGAAGACTCCTGAGCCTGTACTCTGACCAAACTTATTAGGAAAAACTGTCTTTTTATAGTTTCTTTTGGCCATCGTGACATCCAAATTAAAATTTTCAGAAAAATTCGAGTATTTTTTTTTTTTTTTACTGGCGAGTGCACGTTTTCGGATATTTTCGAATTTATTTGAAAACACGGAATCCTACGTAAGTGGCATAGAGAAGTTTCGCCCTGGTTGAAAAATATTTTGCAGGTCGACCTTTAAAGCCGAACGCCGGCGATGCTGTGCTCTCATAGGCCCGATAAAGCGATGTCAAAAACACATGTCACTGTGTCGTCCCTGTACATGATAGGTTGGACAATGAATGTGTACAAACATGGTCCCAACAGCTCGTGGCATTAGCTGGGTCCAGACAGAAGGTGGAATTGACTATAGGCTTTTTGTTGTGCATCTTTTTAAGTATTCCCGACGTTCTAAAGTGTAGCCTTTTGAGGCTACATCGTTGAGGGCGCATTCACAGTTTGGCATATTGTTCTTGACGGGAGACCATTTCCGACTTCAGCTCGTCAATCGAAGATGCTCCTGCAAAGTAGAAGCAAATTGAGCAGTAAATTATGATTTTATTTCACATCAGGCACCATCATAAACTGATGCAGGCTGCAGGGGCTGAAAGTGTAAATGTTTGACTCGATAAAGCCTCTGCTTTTTACAATAAAACATGAATTTACATTAGAGCGTCTAAATTTACAGCTGCTGCACTGCATCGTGGTTATTGATGTTGCAGCGGTCGCACCACTACGAGTTTACCTTTGCCCAATGCTCAGCATACTTAAACAAACGAACTGATGATAAGTAGAAGCTTTGTCACAAAAGCTAATTGAATTACCTCTTGTAAGGAAGAGTTCAAATTATATGCGATTTTATAACTTACAACCTGTCTAAAAAGCCAGTTGTTGCAAGAAAGTTGAAAACACGAACGAAAGGCATTAAAGAGTATTCTCGAAGCATGAAATCTGGCTGAAATTTAATGATATCTCAAAGGTGAACAATCCTAATGTCTAGTGCCTAATCTCCGCTACTGAAGCCGTTCATAGTGTAAAAGTCAATTGAACTGTAAACCTGCTCGGATATCGAAACTTGTTTTGAAAGGCATATAGGTTTTTCTCCCAGCCCGTCAAAAGCGGTACAAGATGGACGAACATTTTTGCAGTAACCATTTGCGTCCGGACCGCGGTGAAAGGGGGGGTAGGAGGGGGCGCCTCCTCCTACCCCCTTGGGATTCTGTGGTTAGTGACGACGAGGTATTTCAATGGCATACTCTTAGGCTGCAGCCACCCTGCTAATACGTCATACAAAGGACAGTCTGCAGATACTAGATAGCTTTAGGGAACCATTTTTTTCATATTTGATACGGTACGGGGCCTTTCGGTACGAACTGCGCATCTGCAAATCTTCTGCGGTAGCACATGGGCAGTTCATACCGGCAGCTCCCTGTATGAGCTGTCTTGTCCGATTGGCCATGCACAGACTCTCTGCAAACATCTTCAAAGGTTACATGAAAAAATGAAAGCCGTTTACAACTCCCTGTAACGCCGAATTTGAGCGCAGCTCTTGAGGAGGAGGAGGGAAGGGTACTGGGGGGATCAGTTGACCTCGGAAGGGGGGGTCACGTGACCTCGGGGGGAGGGGTCACGTGGCGATGACGTCATCAGTGATGATGACGATGCGGATGCCGATTACGTCATTGGCATCCACATCGCCATCGTCATCATGACAGATGACGTCATCAGTGACGTCACTGATATCGTCATTGTCATCATCACTGATGACGTCATCGTCACGTGACCCCCTAGGTCACGTGACCCCCCCCCCCTAGGTCCTCCCGAAGGAACCCGAGGTCCTCCCGAAGGAACCCGAGGTCCTTGCAATGTCCTCCCGAAGAAACCTGAGGTGCTTCCGAGGTCCTCCCGAAGGAACCCGAGGTCTTGGGGGGGTCACGTGACGATGACGTCATCAGTGATGATGACGATGAAGATGCGGATGCCGATGAAGTCATTGGCATCCGCATCGCCATCGTCATCGTCACTGATGACGTCATCGGCATCCGCATCGTCATTGTCATCGTCACTGATGACGTCATCGTCACGTGACCCCCCCCCCCCTAGGTCCTCCCGAAGGAACCCGAGGTCCTCCCGAAGGAGCCCGAGGTCCTCCCGAGGCCCTCCCGAAGGAACCCGAGGTCCTTCCGAGGTCCTCCCGAAGGAACCCGAGGTCTTCCCGAAGGACCTCGGGTTCCTTCGGGGAAATTTACCCATAATGCACCGCGCGGTTACGCCGACGCCGCTCAAGCCGGAAACAGGCGCCTAAGAGCTGCGCTCTAAAAGTCTATGGTTTGAAGATGCTTGAGACATGTCCGCCGATACTTCTGTCATCATGTCTGCAGTGAATACTGTGTCGTTTGTGTGACCCCGGTTTTTTGCTTCTTACCCTTGGCGGAAGATTATGAACTGTGAACGGAAAAGCTCGGTTGGTGTGCAACAAGCACATTTGAAGCTTGAGGCCGTCGTGTTCATAAAACCAAAGTCGGCAGTCTGATGTTACCCTTCTTTCCGTCGATGATAGCAGAATAATACGACCAAGGAACTCTGACTTTACTTAAATTGACCCTGTAAGTGACTACCTCACAACATGGCGTCTGGGTCCAAACAAACCGTTGCTAGGGACGTTGCTATAGACTAATATATGGAGACTCCACATGAGGCTAGATTTTTGCTTACAAGTCAGTAAATAATTTTCTTGTAAGCTACCCAACTTGTTGATATCTAGTGATGAAGGTGTTCTTGTAGTCTCAGTGTCGTATTGCAATGATGAAAGCCATTTTTGAAGCATTACACACCGCTTTGCTTTCGTAGCAGACGACACGATAGATTTGCTGGCCTCTGTTGCAGCGGGCGTTTTCATTGAATTGCGTCGGTAAACGAGCGACAAAAACAAGTGCATCGCCATGGCCGTAGAGGCCTCCGCAATCTGCGTTTTTTTTTCTGTGAAGAACCCAGCTTAGCTCAGAGGGGTGAAAATGCCGTAAAATCAAACCACGCCACGCAGATCAGTTACGACGACGACCTGAAGTGTATTACCGGCGTAGTGCAGGCCAGCATGAGTAAAAAATCGTACGCCGTCCAGGTAAGTCGTTTGTTTTATTATTGTGGTTGTCAGGTTATTAAAGAATTGCCTGTCTATCGCAAGTTCGCAATATTTTGCTTTTTTTCCCCCCTTGGTATACATCAAATTCCGTGTGTGTGCTCTTTTGGTGAAGACTTTCATCGAACCCGCGATGCGAGTACAATCTGTAATAAACTCACTTTATCCCTATTGGAAAAACCAGCATGAAAATAAAACTGGCCAAGATGGCAACTAAGCTGGTCAATCTGGTTAATCTGGCAGTCAGACTGGTTTAACTGGCAATCAAGCTGGTTTAAGCTGGTCAGTTTGGTTTAAGTAAAAACCAGCATGGTCTAACTAGAATCTGGTTTAGATTCAATATGGTGTAGCTGGGAGCCAGTCCGGTCCTAATTAGTCAAACTGGTTTTCCATGGAGCCAATGTGGCCAAGCTGGGAGACGAGCTGGTCATGCTGGGAGACAAGCTGGCGAATCTGGTCGAACCAGGGTGTAAGATAGACAGGTGGGGAAACGAGAGCCAAATGACCGACCGGATTGTGTCCCCCTCGGTTTCTCTTTTTCTGTGGCGCCATCTATGTGGAGCACCGCGAACCCTCACTCCGGTTGGGCGAACGGTGGCGACCGGCTAAACTGACGGAAAAGGTTTCTCGCGGATTTTCAATGGAAGACTGTCGTGCTCCCGGTTTATTTTGCACACTCTCCTATAAAATTCCATGCAAATTTGATTCAAAATTTTTTTCTTCTCGCCGCAGCGCCATCTGTCGCAAATCGGGGGTACCCCCAAGCAGACGAGTACACAATCCGGTCACGGCGCTGCGGTAGGTTGCTATGGGCCGTTTCTCCGCCTGTTTATCTTACACCCTGGGTCGAACCAGTGCCTCCTTTATAAGTCACACAATGCCTGTCAGCTCCGAGCACTGGCAAGCGGAAGGGAGAGGGCAAACAGTACGTGTGGTTGCCGTGCGGTGGAGCCACCTAGGCGTACAAACCTGCCGTGTAGAGAAGCCAACCATCTTTTCCGTAGGAGGTTCAATGATGTCGCCCGAGCAGCACCGACAGCAAGAAATCTACATGTTTCTGACTGACAGCTCGGGACCAGCTCGTCGTTTTCAACAGAATATTACTCATTTTCCTACCTTTTCACCCGCACACGACCCGACGCCAACTATTTCTATGCGCGCGATTCAAGGTGACTCCCAAAGCCCCAAACTGCCGCCAAAGCAGACGGTCAAGCGGCCAAGCGTTCTCCGCGTCCGCGCTGCAAAAGCTAAGCCTGGCCGTGCTTGCTGCGTAGTTTCGTATTTTGTTTCGGGGAAACTCGTTTGAATCAGGGCGGTCGCATCCAGAACAGTGTTCGGCATGCTGTTCAAAAAACATATATATGATATATCTTCAATAATAAGGTAAATACAAAATGTTAGAAAAATATACAAAACGAACGTTCGCCAGGCGGCACTACCTTACTGTACGTGTATGTTGTGAGGTGAAGCATCGGGCCTGGACACGTCCTGGAGAGAAGCTGACAGGCATGGTGTAACTTATATAGGAACCGTGCGGATCTAATTCAAGCCCCGACCAGGGCGCCCCTAGCGGCAAACAGGTCCGTTGCATCGGGCATCTTCTGCCAGTCACTGTGTTGGTTGTGCGTTGTAGTGGGTTAGCGCTGTAATTTCTGAGATGGCTATTCCGCACCAAGAAAGCCGCAACAATTGCTGCGTGGTCGGCAAGATCGCGCACGGCGCGAAGTACTACATCGTCCCTTCGAAGCCGTACGAGGCGGAGTACTGCGCGACCTGGGTACGACTTGTGCGTCCATACAGGTTAGTGGTGTTTCTTACCTTCCAGTTCGCGCTTTGTTTAAGCTGCTGACGAATAATACAATTAACTTTTTTTTCTCTTCTAGCGACGATGGAACAGCATCGACACCGACGGCAAACTCTAAAGTATGCAGCAAATACTTCACCGGAATCGAGAAGCGGAATGCGGTAGCCCTCCTAAGCCTACCGTTGGATGTTTCCATCAGCCTACAGGAACACTCTCAGAAAAAAAGGAGCCAAATGAGCAGAAAAGGGTTCCTTTCGCTAAAAAAGAACCGATTTCTGGGAAGATCCCTATGAAGCGTGCTTTCTCAACCAAAAGCACCCCATGCAAAATAAAAAAAGAAATGCAGAGCTAGTTTCTGGCCTGGATAGAGCGAAAAGGGTTCTTGTTGCAGCCAGGAAAGAGATAAAGCGATCTTTCGAAAACGAAGGTCACTTAAGTCTTCTACCGGATAGAGCTCGAAAGGCTTTGCACGCGAGAAATTGGGTGTGCCATTCTGTGGGAACAAAGCTGCCCGTTTGAGCTGTCAAGTCCTTCAAAGCTTAGAGAGGTGGAATGCCGTAGTTATTTACCAAGTCGC